TATTATTTTTTAATATTTTTATTATTTTTTAGTCCATCAAGAGGATTGTTGATCATCGGACTGTTGACTTGTATGCCAAGTTTGTCGAGGAACTCAATTTAGTCAAGAAAGAGTTCAGCCAGCAGTCTCCTGTCCTCCCTCGCTCTCAGCCTAACTTTGCAGGCATGGCGTCATGGGCACGTCTACTCAAGAAGAGAATCGATCTACCAATGAAGGTATGTATACATACAGTACTATTAAACTATCAATTATTTTAAAATTACATATTTTTGATAGTTATTATTGTTGTATATAGATATTTTTTACCACACATGCCTGTACTAACATTGACTAATCATTTATTCACTATAGCTATTATACTGCTAGTAGTACCTAATTCTATCCATCTTTTATATCTCTAGGCTCTTGAGTCTGCTTTCTTCCTACATGAGAAAGGACAGGGCGAAGAGGCTAAGCAACAATATCTTCAGCTAGCTGCCGTACTTGAAGAATTCATTGGTAAGAATTTCAATGACTGGGTCGTAACGGTTGAGAAAGAATTAAATAAACTATTGGACCAGCCACTAATGTTGAGGTACTGTTTAATGATTTATAGCACTATTATTATGTACATGTATCATTTTCCTGCAGGTCTACACATAAGCCTGGACGTATTGAGATGCATTTTAACCGGACGCTGTTGAGACTATTTGGAGAGATGAGTTACTGGGAGAGGCTAAGGTTTGAGATGCCTCACTATGCAATGGAGGTGTACTCAAAATGCGAGCAACTTCGAGTTCTCAGAGAAAACGTCATGTTAGTTATTCGAGACTACAACGGCATCATCACTAGCCTACAGCCTAACGAGAGGGCCTTGTTTAGAGAAAGAATCCGCTCCCTAGACAAAAAGATACAACCCGGTTTTTCAAAGTTGACTTGGGTCTCCGAGGGCGTCTTAGAGTTCTTTATAACTGATTGCCGGACGCTGGCATTTAAAGTGCACACGTTGATTAAGAACTATAAGTCTTCTAATCGTCGAATTGGTGGTAATTGTCAGAAGATGAGCGAGATGCTCCTCATTAAACTAGACGGCAAGAGGGTCTATGAGAAGGACGAGTTTGGCACAGAGCAGTTTAAACACTGCCAGTCCGTGAAAGATAAACTGCTAGAGATACATCATGACATTGTCTCTGTCATGAGAGAAAATTTTGAGGTAAGACAGCTTAGCAAAGGATTGCTTACAAGTACAGTGTAGTCTCTTTATTAAGGACACCATTGGGCCCACACTACCTGTCCTTAATACATGTACAGTGTAGTCTCTTTATTAAGGACACCATTAGGCCCACACTACCTGTCCTTTATACAGAGATGTCCTCATTTTAGAAGTACTACTTTTGTATAGTAAGGACATTACAAAATGTCCTTGGTGTCCTTAATATAAAGGTGTCCTTATTATAGAGGCTACACTATATCTGCATTCATTCTATGTGCATGTACCAGCAATACTTGCATGCGTATTAATGTATGCATGAACTTGTGTAGATATTTCGTAATGATGGCGGCAATGTTCAAGGCTATTGGATGGATTACACTCTGAAGATGGATCAAATGATTGAAGAGGCTTTGAGACTTAATGTGAAGTGGTCAATGCAGGAACTCAACCGAGCCATTAATGGTGATGGAAAGACAACACCTAACCCTCTCTTTAAGATAATGGTCATACTCAATGCAGAGGTATAGCTAGTGTTTTTCTTTAATGATTACTGTCCTTATGCAACACTTAAATGCATTGAAATTCATTCAGTTTTATCATAATTATTGTATTTCTTTTTGTCTTAAGATTGAGTTTAGTCCATCCACCACTGAAATTACTACTGACATGTCAACACTCATGACACAGTTGATCAGTTGTACCGCAGACTTTCAGAGACTCTCGCAAATATTGAACAAAAAACCAGCCAAGGTAATAAGAGAGAAATATGAAACTGTATATTATTATTATTTATTATAATTACAATAATTTGCATGTGTTTTGTTTGTCTATATTCTTATAATTATTCTTATTGTTGCTGTTATAGCCTATTTATCATGTCATCGAGGAGGATGAAGAGATTCATAAGATTAAGGTTGCAGTGGATGGTGGAGTGGAGAGGGTCACTGGAATACTTCACACAGAATATCTCAGGACTTGGGATGAGTATGTAACAATTAGGATAATAATAATAATGATAATAATAATAATAATAATAATAATAATAATAATAATAATAATAATAATAATAAAATGGTCATAACTTGAAAAATTTCAGTCAGAATCAGCTCAAACTTTCTAAATAGCATATAGACATCAATATGGATCAGAAAATGTAATAAAAATTGGGGGTGATTCTGGAGCCATTTTTGGAAACATTATTGGCATTGTACTTGCATGTATACATACATGCACACAATAAGATATTAAGGATATTAGTGATGACCAGTTGTTTTTAGATTTCGACGGACCTGGTCTGGCGACAAGGACAAATTCATACTTCGTTTCAGAGACACTAGCCCAGGAGTTGCTGACTTTGATGCAACATTCTCAAAATTCAGTGAATTGGGCAACAAGGCACAACAAGTTGACACCATCTGCATTGTTGAGTTCTTAATGTTGGACTGCTCCCTGCTAAAGTTCTCGATACTGAGTCACATTGATGAGATCAATACGAGACTACAAAACCTTCTCATGGAACTAGCAACCAGCAAACTGGAGGACCTCAGCAGATATATGGACGAGAATTCAAAGAGGTAATCAATAATAATAATATTCATCCTTTCTCAATGCATGATAGAGTGTTGCAATATGTGTACATTGTTTAGAAGGTTTATTTTGTGGTGAAATTTTTGTAAATTTTGCATTTTTTTGCTCCATCACAAAAATTTTCGCCGCAAAATTGTGCATCTTCATTGCCACGTGGTGCAGTCTGCAAGGCTATTCATGAAAATTAATTCTGTAAAACCTTAGAAATGCAAGATTTGCGAAGATAAATCAGTATACTGTATGCCTTTACTTTTTATAAGTAAATTATACTATGAGCACATAATGTAAATTAAACTGTTTTGCTTTCAACAGATTAAGTACACCTCCCGAAACATTGGATAATTTGGGTGAGAGTTTGGGACTGCTGGAAGACATACAGAGGAGAATACCAGAGATAGAGAGACAATTTGAGCCGCTACAAGATCAGTTTAACATGCTCTGCAAATATGAAGTTCCAATCCCTGAATCAGTGAGTGGAGAGAAATGAAGAGAATAATTAGGAGTAGGAGTATCATATGAATGTGTATATACTGTTCTTCTTAATATTAATTTTAGATAGAGAAACAGCTAGGTAATATGCATGGGAAATGGCTATCATTCCAGCAGTGTCTTATTGACAGTGATGGCATGCTGAGGAAACACAAGGTACAGTGTATACAGTTGTGCATGTACAAAGGACTTAGTATAATAGTCATAATTTCAAGACCTTAGTTATACACTGAGATGTAATATATAATTATTATGATTTTACTGTACTATGATAGGAGAAATTCAAGACTGGGCTGCTACATTCTGCCGAAGAGTTTAAGAAAACTGTCTCTAATCTTGTTGATGATTTTGAGTCCAATGGCCCATTCACTCCTCATGTCTCTGTTGAGAATGCACTGGATTTTGTATCTGGGATGCACCAGCAACTGAGCCAGCTCAAGTCCCAAGAGGAGAGCATAAGACGTGGTCTCAATATATTCAAGATTGATCAGCCACCTTCAAATATCATTGTCATATTAGAGAAGGTATTACTAGCTGGGATTATTATATTGTATAATACAAACTCAGAAACTGCGATGTGATGTACATGTACAGTAGTGAGTATAGACTACTGTACTATAATAGAGCCTAATCACTTACTACTGCTAATGTGTCTCTGTAATGTGTAGGACGTTGAGCATCTGGAGATGATATGGGAGCTAGGGAAGGAGTGGGAGAAGAGCTGGGAGGAATGGAAGGTCGGACAGTTTGCTTCACTTCAGACTGAGGACATGTCTTTCCAAGCACAAGGAATGATCAAGAGACTCACCAAAATATCCAGAGAAATAAAAGTGAGTCCATGCAGTATGAATCACTACTACATGTACAAATATCCCATTGATGAATATAAGAGCACTAGTAGCTGAAGTATGCACTATAATCAGCATTTAAGCATTGAGTAATGATGAGTTTTATATTTGAGAATATAATGAGAATGTATTTATCTAATGATTCTAAAGTGCTGTATTGGAGTTGCACTATAATGCACTTGTATTTTGGCTAGTGAGTTTTTAATGCATTTCCTAATTATTTATAGGATAAAGACTGGACTATATGTGGTCACCTAAAGGAACGTATTGACACATTCAAGAGGACCATGCCACTCATTCAGGACCTCAAGAACCCGGCAATGAGAGACCGCCACTGGCAGAAACTCAAAGATGAAGTCCAGAAACCATTCGATCACAGTGGACCCGATTTCACGCTAGAGAAGATAATTGAGCTAGGACTGGAGCAATTCTCTGAGGCCATTGGTGATATTTCTAGTGCAGCTAGCAAAGAGCTCTCTATTGAGCAGGTATACAATGTTCATTTATATTGAGAATATTAATCTTTATTCCAAATATTACAGGCATTACAAGCTATTTCTGACACATGGAAAGATATGGTGCTAGACATTGGCCCATACAAAGACAGAGGTCACTTCAGATTAAGGTAAACTTGATCATACATCTCAAAGCCCTAAGACCTGGCCTAATTCTGCATTGCATATACATTTATTATTATGGTTGAAATTTCCTTTTTTAAAAATCTCAGACCAAGTGATGAGTTATTCCAGCAACTTGATGATAATCAGGTCACACTCTCAACCATGAAAGCCTCAAGATTTGTCAAAGCATTCGAAGAAGATGTCGATCACTGGGAAAGGACACTATCCCTCATACTGGAAGTGATTGAAATGATATTACAAGTACAAAGGCAATGGATGTACCTGGAGGTAAGAAAGAAGTGAGGTGTATGCTACAATAATGTACATCCATGGTGCTCCTCTTTCTTTAGAATATTTTTATTGGAGAAGACATTAGGAAGCAGCTACCAAAGGAGTCAGCGGAGTTTGATTCTGTGAATTCTAACTGGATGGTCAGTCTATAGCTATTATTATTATTATTATTATTATTGTTGTTGTTGTTGTTATTGTTATTATTATTATTGCATAGGTTGTGATGAGTCGTTTGAACAGTGATCCTAATGCACTAAGAGGAACACATCATGAAGGTAGTCTTAGACACTCTGTATGTATAATGATAAAGAAGTTGGTGAAGTATTCTCAAGTTTTCATTGGATAAAATTTACCATTTCTGTGCTACATTTTTTGATGATAATTTATGTGTTCTTAATATTACACAATTTTTGTCTTCACAGGTTTATTAGATCTCCTAAATGAAATGAACTCAAAATTGGAAGCTGTCCAGAAGTCGCTTGACATGTATCTCGAGACCAAGAGACAGTTCTTTCCTCGTTTCTATTTCTTGTCAAATGATGATCTCTTGGAAATCCTCGGACAGTCAAAGAATCCAGAGGCCGTTCAGCCTCACATGAAGAAGTGCTTCGATAATATCAAGTCCCTGGACATGGCGAAGATGAGGGATCATCACGAAGCTACTCATATGAACTCCGCTGAAGGAGAGAAAGTTGATTTTAAAACTATTGTCCGTTTAGAAGGTCCCGTAGAGGTAAGATTAAATTTGAATTTTTTACAAATTTGTGACCATAATTGACAAAAGGTACCTTATGGCGGATAGGAAAATTGGTCTTTATAGCCTTAAAAATCCAACTTCCTGAGCTCCATTTATCATGAAATTACTCCAGAGGATGCAAAAAGTTACTATGCAACTTTTAGAAACAATAGTTGTCTAACAGAGCACTCACAGGTTCATATTTTTCATCATAATGATGAATTTTAAAATCCGCCATAAGGTACCTTTTGTCAATTATGGTCACATTTTTAAAGTTGCTCTAAAATTGAGCCAAAGTCCCTGTACTACAGTACAGGGACTTTGGCCAAATTTTATCAGAAATAAAAAGGAGAAAATTCTCCATTTTAATATTTTTCCTGATACATATACCAGTACATGTTCTTATGTTGTGTAAGCTGATTCCAATCTTTTCCTATTGTTAGGGATGGCTCTGTGATATAGAGGATATGATGCATGTTACCCTCAGAGACATATTGAGAGCTTGTCGTACTGACCTTAAGAAGAACCTCACAAAGAGAGACAAATGGGTCAAAGAATGGCCAGGGCAGGCTCTCATCACTGCCAGTCAAATACAATGGACGGCAGACTCTGAGAAAGCTCTCAGCCGAGGGGACAAGAAAGGATTAAAGAGTTTAAAGAAAAAACAAGTATTAGAAATAATGCTACACTGTTAACTTGATATGTGCTGTATAGAACTCAATGTTGGAGAAATTCTCTGAAGCTATTAGAGGGAACTTATCAAAACTTGACAGAATGAAACTGGTTGCACTAGTTACTATAGAAGTTAGTCCTTCTTTATACTGAATTGTGATTTTTGTATTTTATTTTATTTTGAAGGTTCATGCAAGAGACATTATTGACAAGCTCCTCAAAGCTAACTGCAACAGCTCAAATGCATTTGAATGGCTGAGCCAGTTACGCTTATACTGGGTAAGAGTGTTATTATTATTATTATTATTATTATTATTATTATTATTATTATCATCATTTTTAGGAACAAGATGATTGTGCTATTCGTCAAACTAACACAAAGTTCCCGTACGGTTATGAGTATCTTGGTAATTCTGGTCGCCTTGTGATAACGCCATTGACAGATAGGTACCTACTGTATGCCTATAATATGTAAAATGAAATGAAATAACTATGTATTTAAGATATAAATGTACATGTATTATATTTAAATGCTATGTGTTTGTAATTGGCATGTGTACTCATATTAGGTGCTACATGACTCTAACAACAGCCCTTCATCTTCATCGTGGTGGCAGTCCCAAGGGTCCTGCTGGTACCGGCAAAACAGAAACAGTTAAAGATTTAGGAAAGTCACTTGGAATGTACGTTATTGTTATCAACTGCTCTGAAGGACTGGACTTTAAGTCAATGGGAAGAATGTTCAGTGGATTGGCTCAGGTATTCTTTAGATGCATGACTTAGTAATGCTTTCAGTTCCTTTCTCACTCTCTTTCTTTTCTTTCTCTCTCTCTCTCTCTCTCTCTCTCTCCTCCTTTAGTCTGGTGCCTGGGGCTGTTTTGATGAATTCAATCGTATCAATATTGAAGTATTGTCTGTCGTGGCTCAGCAGATCCTCTCAATTCTCCAGGCTCTGGCTAATGAAAGCAAGAGGTTTAGTTTTGAAGGACATGACATAAAACTCAATCCATCCTGTGGCATATTCATAACAATGAACCCTGGCTATGCTGGCCGCACTGAGCTACCGGATAACTTGAAGAGCATGTTCCGTCCCATTTCAATGATAGTCCCTGATTCTGCTATGATTTCTGAGATTATATTGTTTGGCGAAGGATTCTCCCAGTGCAAGGTTATACATCATTTAGTGTCTTATTTTTTACTAAATGATGCACAGTTTAATGTACTCCAGCATTTACTGCATAGAACATTCACATTGATGTGTTATATATGTATGTAATTTTTAGCTCAGTTTTAAAATGTTCTTTTGTTTAGTTGTTGGCACGTAAAGTGAACACACTCTATGAACTGGCTGTCCAGCAGCTATCTAAACAGGATCATTATGACTTTGGGCTGAGGGCACTAGTATCAGTCCTTAAATATGCTGGGAGGAAGAAGAGAGCTAGACCTGACATGCCTGATGAAGAAGTGAGAGAGAGAGAGAGAAGCAGGAGGGAGAAAGGAAGACAGAAGAAAGGGAAGGAGAGAGAGAGTCAATGTACATGTAGTGATGCGTGGAACTTTGTAGACAGAAAAAGCTACAAATCAGCATTCATATTGATATGCACAATACATTGTATGTAACTCACATATGCTGTATATTTCTTTTTTTTAAGGTACTCCTACTAGCTATGAAGGATATGAATGTAGCCAAACTAACTGCTTCTGATCTTCCTTTATTCAATGGCATCACCTCTGACCTGTTCCCTGGGGTTGATGTCCCTGTACTGGACTATAGCATTGTAAGATGACAAGGAACTATCATCTACTGTACATGTACATGCATACTGTATCTTATAGATGAAAGCTGCTATAGAGAAGGAGCTCCAAATAGCTAATCTTCAGTGCATTGAGATGACCATCACTAAAGTCATACAACTCTATGAGACTAAGAACTCAAGACACGCAGTGATGATAGTTGGACACACTGGAAGTGGAAAATCTGTCACTTGGAACATGCTTAGGAACACATTGACACGATTGAAGAAAGAAAACAAAGGGCCACAATACAACATAGTGAAGGTCTGATTCTAATTGCATGTACATGAATTATAACAATACCGTAATACATGCATGTTCATATATGTTATAGTGCATGCATGCATACATGCATGTACATGTACATGTGCAAGGTTTATTCCTGTTGTTAATAGGATTACCCAATCAATCCTAAGTCCTTGTCTCTTGGTGAGCTCTATGGTGAGTTTGATCTCAATACAAACGAATGGACTGATGGGGTCCTCTCCTCTGTCATGAGGAATGCTTGTGCAGGTCAGCAACACTTCATTCACATATATCACATCCACTATATCTTGTAGAATATTACTCTAAATAATAATAATAATAATTCTAAATAATATCAAGAGTGGATGATTGATAATATTCATTCTTCCATTGAATCATATGATATTGCTTGATGTACATGTACAAATTGCAATCGATTCTTTGCGAGTTATTTCACTCATATATCACAATCTTTGTACATGCACATGTATCACTAGATGAGCGTCCTGATGAGAAGTGGCTAGTGTTTGATGGGCCAGTTGATACACTTTGGATTGAGTCAATGAATTCTGTAATGGATGACAATAAAGTACTGACACTCATCAATGGAGAGAGAATAGCAATGCCTCAACAAGTAATGAATGATATAAGCTATAGATTATAAAGAGCAATCAAATCCATGTACATGTGTATCACTTTGTCCTTTTTCTGACCTATGAAACCTGTACTCATATTGCTGTAAAGTTTAAGGCCTACAGTGCACTGTATATGTTTGTTGCTTCCTAGATGCATGAGTATTTCCTTTGTTAGCAAATACATGTAATGTATAGGTTACAATATTTTGATTACTGACTAATTGCAGGAAGAGTATATCATATATCATATAGTGTATATATGCGAATGTTTTTCAGTATTAGCTGCTGTTTGTAGGTTAGTCTTTTGTTTGAAGTGGAGGACCTTGCTGTTGCTTCACCTGCCACTGTCAGTAGATCTGGTATGGTCTACAATGACTGGAGGGATCTTGGATGGGAGCCTTTCGTTAAATCCTGGCTAGCAAAGAGACCTATCAAGGTATGGGGCAGAATGAAGAGAGAATCGTGAGAAAAAGAGGGAGAGAAAACTAAGAGAAAGTAGAAGAATTGTTTGCAAAAGCATACACATTGTACATGTACATGAACATTAATCATCATCATCATCATCATCATTATTTTTTTAGAAATCTGTTGAGCCACTCCAGAAACTATTTGACAAATACGTATCAAAGGTTTTAGAGTTTAGACGGACCAAATGCAAGGAGTTGTGTGTTACCAGTGAACTCAATTCAGTGATATCGCTCTGTCGCCTTCTAGACTGCTTCGCCACACAAGAGAACGGAGTAAGCTGATGAAATATGATACAAGTGATCAGCTATCATTGATCAAATGATTTAATTAATTAGCTATTCATTAATGGTTATCAATAGTTATTAATTAAAATTTAAGCATGTGAGGTATCTTATCTCTTTACAAGCTTACATTGTCTGGTTTGCTGTAACTGTGTGTACTAGGTTAATGTTGATGATGAAGACAATTATCAGAGAATGCTGGAGCTATGGTTCCTTTTCAGTGTCATTTGGTCACTGGGAGCTAGTGTGGATGAAGACTCGAGAAGAAAAATGGACACTTTTATTAGAGAAATAGAAGGACAGTTCCCATCAAAGGTACAGTTCCTGCAAGGGTTCCTGTGTCCTATTGAATAATACTGGACCCTCTAGGACACTGTGTATGAGTATTTTGTTGATGTGAAGACAAAGAATTGGGTAATGTGGGAAGATAAACTAAAGTCTGGTTGGAGATATCCATCAAAGTAAATCAACCAATTATATATTGTTCATAGTGCATGATTGGTAATGTATTATAGCATTTGCAGCAATAAGTTTATGTAACTGCATGCTAGCAATAATGTAAGTGTGAAGGTGTGAATTATCCTTGAATTGTTGCTTGATCTATATCTGCAGCTAGTTTAGTGTGTTAATATTAACAAAGCAACAACAGTGAAAGTTTCTGCATATGTTATCTGCTCTAACTTCCAAAATATAGTCAAATTTTATTTATTTATTTATTTTATTGTAGTGCTCCTTTCTACAAGATCATGGTCCCAACTGTGGACACTTTAAGATACGATTTCCTTGTCCACAATCTGATACTATCAGGTCAACCCGTATTACTAGTTGGACCAGTTGGTACTGGTAAGACTAGTGTAGCCCAGGGTGTTATTCAGAAACTGGATCCAATGCAATTCAACGTTTTAACGATCAATCTCTCGGCTCAGGTATATTTAGAGGAGTAATTAGTGGTCTTTGATGTTGGGTGTGTCTGAGAGACCATTAGATTGGTATGTCTCTGATGTTTCTCCTCCCTCTTTCTCTCCCCCTCCCTCTCTCTCTCTTTCTTTCTCCCCTTCTCTCTCCCCCTCTCTCCTTCTCCCTTTCTCTCTCCCTCTCTCTCTTAGACTACCTCTAATAATGTGCAAGATATCATTGAAGGGAAAGTTGAAAAGAGAACTAAAGGTATACATACATGTACATGTATATTAAACTGTTATAATTGTACTTGCACACATACCTGTACCCTATTCTACATGAATCCTAATGAGTGTATTATTATCATCATCACTTCTCTCTCCTCTATTACTGTTAACAGGTGTATATGTACCAATGGGTGGTAAGAAGCTACTCAATTTCATGGATGATTTCAACATGCCCTGCAAGGACACGTTTGGTTCTCAACCTCCACTTGAGCTCATCCGCCACTGGATTGACTACGGCTTCTGGTATGACAGACTCAAGCAATCAGTGAAGCAGATTAAAGTATGTTACATGTAGATACATACATGTAGTCTCATTATAGCATCACCAGTTAGTACTTTAAGGAGTATATATACAATGTACTTTAGTATTGGGTAATTTTGTTTGTTATTTCTTTATATGAATTAACACCTAATTTTTAGATACATTAGTGAGTCATTTAGATGCATAATTATATTGACTTAACTCCTTGTTTTACATGTACATGTATTGCTTATAAAAGTGAATGTAGATATATTCTATCATAACATAATGTACATACATATATGATGTATTGTAGGACATGTTCCTGTTGACTGCAATGGGTCCTCCTGGTGGCGGTCGTACTGTCATCTCAAGACGACTTCAGAGCCGGTTTAATCTCATTAACATGACCTTCCCACAGGTCAGCATGTACACGTACATACACACATACACCCACTTAATTATCATAATTATGTACATGTACATAATATACTATGAAAACTAATGGGATATAAATTCCAATAGTGTCTTATTTGATGTGGGATATTTTACATCAAAAAATGAAAATTATTATTACTAAAATACTAATAATTATTATCAATTTATGTTGAACTATCCTTATGTCTTAAGAACATTATAGCTGATACTAAAGTCCTTTAATGTCTTGTTATTAATAGGAGAGTCAGATAAAGAGGATATTTGGTACGATGATTAGTCAGAAGTTGCAGGATTTTGACGAAGATGTGAAGCCCCTTGCTGAGATCATGACTCAAGCAACTATTGAAGTTTATAACTTTGTATCTACATCAATGCTGCCCACACCAACAAAGATACACTACCTCTTTAACCTCAGGGACATTTCAAAGGTGCTAAGAGAGAGAGAAAGGGAAGGATACGGAGTGTTTAATCTTAGAGTGACTTTTAATCATACAAAAATTATACTTAAAATTAAAATTATACTTTAATTCCACAAAATATTGATATTTTAATTCTCAGTAGCTTTTGAAAGTGCTAATAACAATTTTTTATTAATTACCTATAACTACGTAATTCCATTTTACTTATTCTCTAGATATTTCAAGGTCTGTTAAGAGCTCATAAAGACTTTCACGACACTAAAGACCGCATGGCTCGTCTTTGGGTCCATGAGTGCTACAGAGTATTCTCTGACCGACTGGTGGGGGACAAAGACCATGAGACTTTCAATAATCTTATCGGAGAGAAGCTTGGCGTACTGTTCAACTTATCCTTTAACAACCTGTGCAAGAACAAGCAGCTGCCATTGTTTGGTTAGAATAAGTACATGTACTAGCATCATGTCCAGTCTTAGATATAGAAATTAATTTTGAGGGACCAGTCTAACTAAAAATTGAAGACTTAAGGACACCTAGGTCTAAATATGAGAGTCAGAAAACCTAGCTAAACTATATATGGGAGACTAAAAGTCTCCTAAACTCCCTCTTGATCTAACAGTGACTACTTATCAGTCTATTAATGTACATGTATATGCATCAATTATTATTATTATTATTATTATTATTATTATTATTATTATTATTATTATTATTATTATTATTATATTTTTATTTTTAGGTGATTTTCTTCGTGAGGAAAATCCAGTCTACGAAGACATTGATAATTTTGTATCTCTAAAGAAGTTTATGGAAGATAAACTTGAGGACTACAACATGGAGCCTGGCATCATCGGAATGAACCTAGTGCTCTTTAGAGATGCTATAGAACACGGTCAGGCATAATCATAATTATAATAATAACGTTGACTGTACATGATTATGTATATAGCTTTTATTACATTTTCTAATGTACATGTACTTATGCTGTGTAGAAATTTTGAGCTAATTCCGATTGAAATTAGTTTTTTGTGAATTTTATTATATTTTTTACATGTGCATGAATTTTTTAATTACATTTACTCATGTACTTATGCTGTGTAGAACTATTCCAATTGAAGTTATATTTTTGTGAATTTTATTATTATTTTGTAGTTGCTCGAATCATCAGAGTGATAAGACAGCCTCGTGGTAACATGCTCCTAGTTGGTGTTGGCGGGAGTGGTAGACAGAGTCTCAGTCGACTGTCGGCTTACATTGTCTCATTTTATGTGTTTCAGATTGAAGTGACAAGACACTATAGGCTACAAGAGTTCAGAGAAGGTTGAATTATTTAAACTTTAATCTTTAAAAAAATTTTTTTTCTTTTTTTAATTTTTTTATTTTCTCACTTTCTCTCCCTCTTCCTCTTTTTTTCTCTTCTCTTCCATTTTTTGTCCTCTCTCTCTCTCTCTCTCTCTCTTTTATGCTGTTAGATATTCGTAAGCTTTATTATCAAGCCGGTGTTGAGAACAAGCCTACAGTGTTCCTGTTCACTGATACACAAGTGGTCGATGAATCCTTCCTTGAGGACATTAATAATATACTCAGTTCCGGTGAAGTCCCCAATCTTTATAAACCCGAAGACTTTGAAGAGGTGCAGTGTCACTTTAAAATAATTATGGCTCTAAAATCACCCCCAATTTTTATTACATTTTTTATTACATATTGATGTATTTATGCTGTGTAGAAGTTTGAACTGATTCCGACTTTAATTTTTTGAGTTATGGCCATTTTTAAAAGCGGGTCAATTTCTTAAAAATATCCAAGGCTATAGCCCATGGTTTTTTCTGAAAAATGGCTCCAAAATCACCCCCCAATTTTTATTACATTTCTGATACATATTGATGTATTTATACTGTGTAGAAAGTTTGATCTGATTCCGACTTAATTTTTTTGAGTTATGGCCATTTTAAAAAATTGGCAAAAATCTGAAAAAAACCCTGTACTATAGCCCATGGTTTTTTCCAAAAAATGGCTAAAAAATCACCCCCAATTTTTATTACATTTTCTGATACATATTGATGTATTTATGCTGTGTAGAAAGTTTGAGCTGATTCCGACTTAATTATTTAAAGTTATGGCCATTTAAAAAAATCGGCCAAAATCTGAAAAAATCCCTGTACTATAGCCCATGGTTTTTTCCGAAAAATGGCTAAAAAATTACCCCCCATTTTTATTACATTTTCTGATACATATTGATGTATTTATGCTGTGTAGAAAGTTTGAGCTGATTCCGACTTAATTATTTAAAGTTATGGCCATTTAAAAAAATCGGCCAAAATCTGAAAAAAAATCCTGTACTATAGCCCATGGTTTTTTTCCGAAAAATGGCTAAAAAATCACCCCCAATTTTTATTACATTTTCTGATATATATTGATGTATTTATGCTGTGTAGAAAGTTTGAGCTGATTTCGACTTAATTTTTTAAAGTTATGGCCATTTTTAAAAATCGGCCAAAATCTGAAAAAAATCCCTGTACTATAGCCCATGGTTTTTTTCCAAAAAATGGCTAAAAAATCACCCCCAATTTTTATTACATTTTCTGATACATATTGATGTATTTATGCTGTGTAGAAAGTTTGAGCTGATTTCAACTTAATTTTTTAAAGTTATGGCCATTTTTAAAAATCGGCCAAAATCTAAAAAAATCTCTGTACTATAGCCCATAGTTTTTTCCAAAAAATGGCTAAAAAATCACCCCCAATTTTTATTACATTTTCTGATACATATTGATGTATTTATGCTGTGTAGAAAGTTTGAGCTGATTCCGACTTAAATTTTTTGAGTTATGGCCATTTTAAAAAACGGGCCAATTTCTTAAAAATACCCAAGGCTATAGCCCATGGTTTTTTCCGAAAAATGGCTCTAAAATCACCCCCAATTTTTATTACATTTTTTGACATGATATACATTGTACAATGTTTGCTGATTTGTGGTTTGGTAACAAATTGAATCAGTTCATATTCTTTGGTCCAATTATTCCCATTCAGTACACATCTCATTACACAATACACACACTTTAATATCATTTAAAGGCACTTTATGTACATGTACATGTAAATGTATCCCGTTCAATCCTTTATCTCTTCATTATTCTATAGGTGCGTTCTGCACTCTCACCAGTGGCCATTAAAGAAGGTATACCTGATACAACTGATGCCTTGTTCTCTTTCCTAATCGAGCGTGTTCGTAATAATCTTCACATTATTCTGTGCATGAGCCCAGTGGGTGACCCCTTCAGGTAATTGATACTTTATGTACATGTACATGTATATGTACACATGTACGTGTACGTGTACATATACATGTAACTAGGTACTTAATGATTGGTGCATTTAAACTTCATTAGCAGCATATAATGTACTTAAATCCTGTGCTTTTTCTTGAGTTATTATTTCCTTATGTGATTGTGTTGATTAGGAATCGTTTGAGGCAGTATCCTGCCTTCGTTAATTGCACTACCATCGACTGGTTTACTGAGTGGCCTAGAGATGCTCTTCTTGAAGTGGCTGAAAAGAGTTTGGAAGACGTTGACCTCAAGGGATATGAAGACAGTGACACTGTTAGCAACTTTACATATACTCTTGCTCCCTTTTCTCCTTTCCCTTTATATGCCCTCTTATAGTATACATAAATTTCCTCTTTCTTCCTCCCTCCCTTTCTCTCCTTATTCATCTCTCTCACTCTCTCTCCTTCTCTAGCTTCGTAAAAACATTGCCAGTGTTTTTGTAACCATACATCGCTCAGTAGTGATCATGTCTGAAAGAATGCTGCTGGAAATGAAGCGTCACAACTATGTCACTCCCACTAACTACCTGGAACTTGTGTCAGGATATAAGAGGTACTGTCTAATACATGAATCATGCACATACTGTACATGCATGGACATATCATAGTACTTTATGGACCACGCATATAGAGAAATTTTTGCATGTATTTGTGTGTGGTAGTCTACAGTAGTCAGTGGAGTATAATGTGCATTTTTCATGCATTCATGGACTGTGTATTACTGCTACATGATTGTATGGGTTATTAGTCATGTACTTGTGTGAGGTTGTTATGGTATACATGTTTACAAATTGGAATTATTAGCTTAATCTTGTTTAACCTTTAAAAGAAAAAAAAAGAGAGAGAGAAAGTTCATGTACATACATGTACAACTTTATATTAATCCTCTCTCTTTCTCTCTCTCAGTCTTTTAGATGAGAAAAGAACTGAGATTGGTGATCAAGCCAACAAGCTTTCCAATGGATTGGATAAACTAATAGATACGAGAGAGAAGGTTCAAGTAATGAAGGTTGAACTGGACGAGGCTAAAGTTAAAGTTGCTGTCTATCAGAAGGAATGCGATGATTACTTGGTTGTCATTGTACAGCAGAAAAGAGATGCAGAAGAACAAGAGAAAGTGAACATTCTTTTACATTTTAACTAAAAATTAAATGGAAAAAAATAGCCATGAAAATACATACATGCATATAACTATCATCATGTACAATTATTATTATTATTTATTCTTGTAGGCAGTTCAGGCTCGTAGTGAGAAGATAGCTGAAGATGAGAAGCGTTGTCTCGTACTAGCAGAAGCTGCTCAGAAGGATCTTGATGAAGCTATACCAGCACTGGAAGAAGCTATCAAAGTGAGAGAGTTTATAATTTATTAGTGTATCATTATTAGCTGTAAATGTTCATGTATATAAATGCAACTATTTATGTTCTGTTTTATTTGTTTCTCTTTTAATGGTATCTTGCATTAATCTATCTCTCTCCTTTCCCTTCCCCTACAGGCTCTGGAGGCTCTCAATAAAAAGGATTTAGGTGAAATTAAAGCTTACACCAACCCACCTCCACTAGTAGCTGAGGTAATGAGAGCCGTCCTCATACTTCGTGAGTCCAACGACACCTCTTGGGCGGAGTCAAAGAGACAGTTAGGAGAACAAAACTTCATCAATGATCTCATCAACTTTGACAAGGAGAACATGTCAGACAAGACACTCAAGAAGATAGGGACTGTTGTCTCAAAGCCTGACTTTAGTCCGATGATTGTTGGTCGTGTTTCTGGAGCTGCTAAGTCTCTTTGTCAGTGGGTCCGAGCTATGGAAGTGTACGGTCGAATATACAGGGTTGTGGAACCAAAAAGAAAGGTATTACAAAGCATGCAGAAAGGAGAGAAGAGTACAGGAGAGTACAATTACGTTTTATTTTTAATCGATGGAGTTGTGATTATAAATGAATGTACAATAATAAATAATGGTAAAATTATTGTTAAATGATTTTATAATTTTATAGAAATTGGAAGATGCTCAAAGCCAACTGGCAGCAAAGCAAGCCTCACTAGCTGAAGCAAGAGGGAAACTAAAAGAGGTACATACAGTACATGTACTTATAGTTTTTCTTAATGTACATGTACATGCATACCATAGTAATGGACATACGTAGTTATTTGTCTCTGAGGATAATACCTTCTCCTAATATCCTTTGATTTATTTCTTATATACATTGTACATGTATTGAACCACTCCAGTGTATTTAATATCCTTTGATTTATTTCTTATATACATTGTACATGTATTGAACCACTCCAGTGTATTGTGGGACACTTGTTTGTCACTCGGGGAAATACTATTGAAAGAAATGCACTATAATCACTCTAAACCACAACAATGAAATCCACATTCGTTATAATTATTGTACTATGCTCCTGCTCACACACATTCACAGTATTAGTTCTAGAAGTACATAATTTTGGGAGACCAACCTATGTGTAGCAAAAAATGGGAGACTTCAAAAGACCTTGGCTAAATATGAGAGATCAAACTCCCTCTAGATCTAACAGTGCATGTACAATGTATACGTACACATGTACTTGTAATTTCTTTTATGCATGTACATGTACTTTTATCTTTATTCATTATTTTCTTTGTAGTTACAAGACAAGTTAAAAGAGCTTAAAGACCAGTACGATGAGAAAGTAAAGCAAAAAGAAGAGCTAAGGAAGAGAGCAGAGATGCTTGAGCTGAAGCTAGACAGAGCAGACAAGCTTGTGTCAGGACTAGCCGACGAACGCATCAGATGGGAAGAGAGTGTCAAGGTACAATAAACTAGCAAATGGAGTTATTCCTAATTAGAACTACTAATCCTATCATTGTAACTAAGTTTATGACCGGTTTTGACTGGACGAATTAGAGCCAGTAAAATATACACAACAGCACTGACATACAAGAATCATTTCTCTTATATATATAAACCTCATGAATACACTGTACAGTAATACTGTCAATCCTTGAGTGGTTTAGGATGCTCTAGCATTCCTTGCATTATTTATACTAGACATAAGTCCATCTTCACACACAGTGAGTGTGTATACATTGCATCTGCCTAATGTGTTCATGTGGGGTCTGTAGAGTATGTACACTGATACAAATGATTGTATGAGATAATATCAAATGATATCATATTAGTAATAGATCAATATAGTACATGTACTGTTAGTAATACTGATATATTATATTGATGTTTATTTGTGTGTGTGTTATTATTAAATGGTGACAGGCTCTAAGAGGCAGTATGGTATTTCTTGTTGGTGATTGTCTGGTGGCTGCTGCTTTCCTCTCTTATGCTGGTCCTTTCCTGTCCAGTTACAGAGATGAACTGGTACAGCAAACATGGCTGAAGCAGGTAAGCATCATCACTTGTAAATATCTATAAATGTGCAAAATGTGATTTAAGCCTACATGTACACATGCATTATTATCATCATCATCATCATTATTATTATTATTATTATTTTACATGTTATTATTGATGTTTTATACAGGTGAGAGAACTCTCCATCCCTTGTACGCCCGAGTACACCTTTGCTAGCTTTTTGGGTAATCCAGCGATTGTGAGAGAGTGGAACATACAAGGGCTTCCTTCTGATGCCTTCTCTACCGAAAATGGAGTCATTGTCACTAAGAGCAACAGGTAGAGGCAGATCTTTGTATCATACATGTACTGTATAGTCAACTACTCCTATTAAGTCTCTAATCAGATTAAAGATGCATGCATACATGTACTTATAATTGTGTGTTCTGATTAAATATACATGTACCTGTATTTGTATTTGTTATTGCTGTAGATGGCCACTTATGATTGATCCTCAAGGACAAGCTATCAAATGGATAAAGAATATGGAGAAGCACAGAGTAAGAAATGAACACATTGTACCGTGTACCATGTACCTTAGTTGTATCTGTATTCTAATTACCGTATGTAGCTGGTAATGTAGAGGGGGAAGTTTTCTCATATTATTGGTAACTGACAGGTTTAATTTGGCAAATTTATGACCTAATTGTGTTATTGAGCATGCACAGGATGGCTCAAAATGGCTGATTTTATTTTGACTAATACAGCTAGCTATCTAAAGTCTCCCCCTCCAAAGTTACCAGCTTTAGTAAGAACATAAGTTAGTGGTGGTATCACTCGTCATTAGTCAGAGATTATTTCATCAGTTATTACTGGAGTCCTGTTATTTCATAACAGTGAAGTCATTCCTCCTAATCTTACCTGTTAATTCCTGTATATATACATACATGTACATGTACTTATAACTTGTAATTAATGTTTATACTTGTACATGTGCACTTGAACATGCGCCTTCCTTCATATCAGCAGTATTTAGTTCCAGTATGCAGTGTAATCTCCTGGTTGTTGGGTGTGAGCCATATTTGATATTTGATTTCATTTAGCAACCAAAAACAATGTCGCATATATACACGTACATGTACATGTACACGTACATGTACACGTACGTGTACGTCAGAAATAATTGTTCACATGTAGCGTATGTAATTGTATAATTAGCAACGTTATGCAAATATTATAATATTAGCTCTGCTGATTTCTTGAGAATTGAAAATTGCCATAGTTTTTGCTATTATACCAATTTGCATGTATACTAGTACCATGCATATTAGTAGCTTTTATTTTTTAGGCATGTACATGTATATAATAATGTTTAATTATAATTATTTGTTTGTGTTTCAAATAGAAACTGAAGATAATAGATCTGCAGCAGCAGGACTTCCTGAGAACATTAGAGAACTCTATACAATTTGGCAGTCCTGTCTTGTTGCAGAATGTACAAGAGGAATTGGATCCATCCCTTGCCCCAATACTTAACAAATCACTCATTAAGCAAGGTACAATTTTCAATTGCATTAGCTACAATGTACATGTACATGTACTTTACTTGCTACTGTAGCTCCATCATTTGGTAGTCAATAACTTCAAAAATACATGTACATAGTAAAATTAATCTACTGATGATTTATAAATGCACCTGCAATTCCCTCTTAAATGTTTATCCTGTTGAGATGTGATATGTACATGATTCACTCTAATTCCCTCTTCAGTTTTGATAAACATTTCTTCTGTTGAGTTGTGAGTTTATTTTGTTGATATTTTGTTTGTTTGATATATGTCTACTGGTGATGTACTAACCTGATTATCCCTACCTCTCACCTTTCACTAGTAAATACAGATGTACAGTAAACATATTATTTTCTATGAAACTATGATTATTATAAAAATAGCTACAGTATATTTATTTATTTATTTTTATTGTAGGCAATCGGTTGTTGATTCGGTTGGGAGACAAGGAGGTTGAGTATAATCCTGAGTTCAAGTTTTACATCACAACAAAACTGAGCAACCCACACTACACTCCAGAGATATCCACCAAGACTGCTATTGTTAACTTTGCCGTTAAGGAGCAAGGTACAATATTATGATGTCATAAACTTGATGTACATACATGGGCCCTTTCTTCCTTTTTAATCTTATTCTCATTTATTCTGCTCCCTCCTCCTTTCTCTCTTTCTTTTCTTCTCTCTCTTCTCCAGCATTCCCAAGCTACGTAGAAAGTTTGAGCTAATTTTTTAAAGTTTATTGCCAATTTTAAAACATGCCAATTTCTAAAAATTACCCTGTAATATAGTTGATGATTTTTTCCAAAAAAGCTCCAAAATCACCCCCAATTTTCATTACATTTTCTGATGCATATTGATGCCCTTATGCTACATGCTTTGTTTCTCTTATCAATAGGCTTACAGGCTCAGTTGTTAGGTATAGTGGTTCGTAAGGAGAGGCCAGAGCTAGAGAAGAAGAAAGACGAGCTGGTAGTCAACATAGCTCAAAGCAATAAGAAACTGCTAGACCTTGAAGATGAGATTCTTAGGTATGTACATGTACTGTACATTGCACTCTCTTCCTTTCTCACGTTTTGATCTTTATGCACTTGTTCTTCTACATGCTGCATGCATGTACATGTACATGTACATGCATAGTAATTTGTAAAAAAATTACCAGAAATCCCCCCCCACAAAGTACATGTACATACATATTAAGAGTGCATGCTTCTAAAACTAATGATTACCATTATATGTTGATTATTGTGATAATTATATCATCATTAGGTTGTTGAGTACAGCTCAGGGCTCACTCCTTGATGATGAGAAACTGGTCAACACACTTCAGTCAAGCAAAGCAACAGCACACGACGTACAGAATCAACTGGAAGTGAACCAGAAAACTGAAAAAGAAATAGACACAGCAAGAGAGGTATACTGTTATATACATGTACATGTAATTGTAATTATTCATGTACTTGTCATTTTAATTGTAAAATTTATTGCAGTGCATTTTACACAAATGTACACGTACTAATTGTTCTATAGTGTATACTGTGTAACTGGATTTATTATTATGTATTTTCAGAAATCCAGTGTATACAAAACCTCTTGTATATGTACATGTATATGTACATGTACATGTACTAGATTTTACTGTATTATTTATGTACCTTATATTTTATTCGTAGGGATATCGTCCATGTGCTCAAAGAGCCTCCATATTATTCTTTGTGATGAATGATATGGGCCGGATTGACCCAATGTACCAGTTCTCACTGGATGCTTATGTTGAACTCTTCTCTAATTCGATTGATAAGAGTCTAAAGCATCCTAAACTGGAGGAAAGGATAGAGTATTTGAATGACTATCATACCTTTGCTGTTTATCAGTCAGTAACACGCACACCTCTCTCTTCCTCTCTCTCTCCCTCTTCCTCTTTCTCCCTCTCTCTCCCTCTCTCTCTCTCTCTCTCTCTCCCTCTCTCTCCCTCTCTCTCCCTCTCTCTCTCTCTCCCTCTCCCCCCCTCTCTCTCTCCTTCTCTCTCTCTCTCTCTCCCTTACTCTCCCTCTCTCTCTCTCCCTTACTCTCCCTCTCTCTCTCTCCCTTACTCTCCCTCTCTCTCCCCTCTCTCCCTCTCTCCCTCTCCTTTATATTTAATCTTTTTCTTAGATACACATGTAGAGGTCTCTTTGAACGCCACAAGCTTCTCTTCTCATTCCAAATGTGTGTAAAGATAATGGAGAATGCCAGCAAACTCAACATGGACGAGTACAGCTTCTTCCTTAGAGGTGGTGTGGTAAGCTTTCATTGGATTACATGCACTGTAGCAGAACCAAAGCATTTTCACAGTACACATGTATTAACCTTTGAATACTGTGTGCAAACTTTAATTAGGAGACTGTACTTCAATAGCACATGTGTATATGTACTTACAACAGTGTATAACATTAACAGTCTTTATAAAGTTGATGAGAAGGATGTATCTATGTACATGTACATGTACAGTGTTGTTTCAATAGATATACATGTACATGTATGTGGATATTAGGTTCTTGATCGTGATGCTCAAATGGACAATCCTTGCAAATGGTTGGATGATGCTCTGTGGGACAATATCACAGAATTAGACAAGTTAGTTTATGCATGTAATGTAATGTATAGTCTAATGAGAAATGAACTGAATAGAAGGGACTAATGTAATGTCAGTGATTGATATTGTGTCTTCTTGTATTATATGTTTATTATTATGTCATAGGTTGGGTAGTTTCATGGGTATTGCTAATTCATTTGACCAGTATCCTAGGGAGTGGCACTTGTGGTTCACTTCTGACTCACCAGAAACAACATCACTACCTGGTAATGATCACTTTTATTTCCATTTTGAAAAATATCTTTTATGAATGTTAATAATTACTATACCTTAATTCCTTATACTTTCTTATGTCCCCCCTCTCTCTCTCTCTTTCTCTCTCTCTCTCTTTCTCTCTCTCTCTCCCCCCCTCTCTCTCTCCCTCTCTCTTTGTGTTAGGTGAGTGGGAGAATTCCTGTAATGAGCTTCAAAGGATGTTAGTCGTTCGATCACTTCGTCCTGATCGTGTACCCCAGACTGTGACATCGTTTGTTATCAATAATTTAGGAGCAAAGTAATAATAATGTCCTACATACCCCTCCCTTCATGTTGGCATGTTAATTATCTTTGAGGTGTGCATGTAGTTATTTTCTCCCTCTCTCCCTCTCTCCTTAGATTTGTCGAGCCTCCTGTGCTAAATATGGGTGCTGTAGTTGAAGATTCTAGTTGTAGGACTCCATTGATTTTTGTCCTTTCTCCTGGCGTGGTAAGTATACAGTACTGACTGTACATGTACATGTGGTTTAGTGATGTTTCAGATCCTCATAACTCAAAAAGTTGTACTTAAAATCAGCTCAAACTTTTTACATAGCATAAGGACATCAATATGTATCAAAAAATGTATTAAAAATTGGGGGTGATTTTGGAGCCATTTTTCGGAAAAAACCATGGGCTATAGTACAGGGAAATTTTAAAAAATTGGCCCATTTTAAAAATGGTCATAACTTGAAAATTTGAAGTCAGAATCACCTCAAACTTTCTACACAGCATAAGGGCATCAATATGTATCAGAAAATATAACGAAACTATAACTAAACCCAGCTAGCCATCAACTTTACTAACATCTACAAACCTCATTGGCAGCCATGACTTTATCTAATTAATGTTTACTCAGGCATTTAGCTGCACCCATTAAAATACCACATGGTCCCATCTGCTACACCACTCATACTACACTCCGCATTAATGATCCATTAATGAGAGGAGCACGTATCCTTCCTATAAACATAACTTATCTTTTTCTATTAAAAGCACTGATTGCTATACCCCAGCTTTGAGTACATGTACATGCATTTATACATTGTATACTGGAGTAGAGTTTTATTTTTAATATAACAGATAGTGATGCATTTTAAAAGTATATGAACTGTTTTGTGTGCATGCATTTATTTCAAATGTTGTACGTGTTACTCTTTTAGGACCCCACCACTGGCCTCCTCTTGCTAGCAGAGCAGTCTGGCATGGCACAAAGATTCCAATCAGTGTCACTTGGACAAGGCCAGGCACCACGGGCTCGGAGAATGATTGAAACTGGAGCAAAAGAGGTACTTATGCTGTGTTCATGCACTTAAACTACTCAACAATTGTTTAGTAAAGAATACTGCAATGTAAATGTGTCATATTGTCATTTTGCAATGCAATCTTTATACAATGCATCTTAAATCACCTTTTTTATCTATTCTTTTTAAATTCTCCCTTTCTCTCTCTCTCTCTCTCTTTCTCAGGGTAATTGGGTATTTTTAGCAAACTGTCATCTTTCCCTAAGCTGGATGCCTCAGCTAGACAAGCTAATTGAGGATGAGCTACAAGTGAGTATATACAATAATCTAGTCTCGTCATAATGTCCCTCTCACTGGGGGAGGTATGAGAAATACTACCTTGAAGCACATAGTTATGTCTTTGTTGTAATAGGACCTCACAATCTGTCAATCAACTAGTCTCCTGTCTGTCACTTACTACTCTTTCCTGAAACTTGATATTATAGCTCATAATGAGGCTAAATGTACCTCATAGTGTAGGCCCACATGTACATGTATTATGTATAATTATGTAAATCTGTAATGTAGAGTATATAGTGTAGACTCATATTAATGCTATATAAGTACATTATGTAGCTCTTATAATGTAGAGTATAATAGCTCATAATCCTCCTATAGCTTGTAGTGTAGTTTATTTATTTGTTCCAGTGTGTTAATGGCTAAGGTTAAGGTGTGTTCCCTCCTCTTTCCTTCCCATCTTCTTTCTGTTGACCATACAAGCAGCTCAATTATGTCTTGGCATAATTTGTTATGGTGTCCTGGATTTGTTTATGAATAACATTGCCAAATGTAGGCTCAGACAGTGTGGAATGTTGTAGTTTGTGAGTGAGTATATCATTGTACTACTAGTAGTCTCTCTTTGGTGGGTTTGGTATTTGAGTAATGATTGGAAATGAGTGGACATGTGTTTAGATGTGGTTTTGGATCTAATTTGTTGCATTTGCACGCTCAGACCTACAGAGACGCACACGCTAATGCGTGCTCCCTTTTAAAAATACACGTACATGTACAGCACCTCTTCTGTTTCTTCTTTTAATTTCTCTCTTTTTCTTTCTTTTATCTGCAGATCAAACAGCCTCACAAAGACTTCAGGTTATGGCTAAGCAGTAGTCCTAATCCTGATTTCCCAATATCAATATTACAAGCTGGCATCAAGATGACCACTGAACCACCAAAGGTACATTTCAAGGACACATTGCTTTTTAATCTTTCTGTCTCCCTTATACCAATGCCTCTTTATTCTCCTCTCTCTCTCTCTCTCTCTCTCTCCCCCTCTATCTCTCTCTTTCTCCCCCTCTATCTCTCTCTCTCCTCTCTCTCTCTCAGGGCTTAAAGGCTAACATGAAACGTTTATATCAGATAATGAATGAATCAACATTCCCACGCTGCGAGTGTGACTTCAAATACAAGAAGCTTCTGTTTGCCCTCTGCTTCTTTCATTCGCTTCTAATTGAGAGGAGGAAGTTCCTCACACTCGGCTGGAACATCTTCTATGGTTTTAATGACTCAGATTTTGAGGTATGTTGTGCAATCACTCGCCTAATGCCCATCACACGATAATTTGTGTAAATATGCATAAACAAATAGTTGAGGTGTCTGATAATGGAGGGAATGAGAGAGAGAATGAGAGGGAGTGTAGAAACGATTGCACATACACTTCTCTCCTAGCCACTAGCTACAAGCGTACATTTTTCATGTTCACTTACATCATTGTCATGGTGCTATCTATAGTGCATGGCGTAGGTAATTATGGAGCTACTCTATCTCTATGGCAGTAAAAGAACAATGTTCTTGGGCTATTAGTTCTATGATTGTACTGCTGGTATAGTTGATTAGTTTCTCTGTATAGTTTATGGAGGATCTTATGACTTATTTCCTCTATAAATTAGTCTGTATTCCTTGCTTTATGTAGCTCGTATCCTGTGTTATCATATGGAATAGCTCTTAATATTATTATCATTCCTATAATCATCAAGTGCGCTTCCTTTATACGTGCCTATTAGCTTTAATGCAGTCAAGGAAAGAGTCATGCTTTGTTGGCCCTCATCATAATCTCATTAATTTCCAGCACATGTACATGTACATTCACCATACTATAAATGTACTTTTGTACAGGCACTGAGTTATAAATGTACATATTCTCATAATGAATTGGTCTACTTGGTATGTTATTTATTCATTTAACCAGTTAGTTGTACTCTTGTGTTGTTTTATACACTGAGATTGCTTATTGCTTGTAATGATGATGATGAATGAGAGAGTTCTAGATGATTATCCTAACACAAAGGAAGAGATAATTGAAGCATTCAACACACCCAAGTACAACAGAATCAGCACTAGTGTAGTCATGAAGCAGATAATGCATAGCTTTATATTGTAACAGTGCATTAATAATCCTCTAACATATAAAGCATATCATAGTGAAGCTAATACAGTAGTATTAAAGTATAATTTTATGCCTGTAAATGTACATGTACATGTATATTGGTAATGTTATGTGGATGTTGTACACATTTTTGTGTCATTTTACTAAGTGGGTATGCTGGGTATGCAGTCTGTGAGAGATCAAACAAACTAAAAGCTAATTAGTCCATCCACTAATGAATTCATTGTGTTATAATACTAATAATAGTATACTTATTAGTGCTACAGGAACTATCCTGTTTATCTAATAGACTATATGTATAGGCTAGCCTCTATATAATGGACACTTTGGTAGAAGAAAGTGTCTCTGTTATACAGAGGTGTCCTTTATGTGGATGTTATTTTATACAGTAAGGAATGTAATTGGTACACTAGGTGCTGTCCGTTAAATGGAGGTGTACGCTATAGAGAGTGTCCATTAAGAGAGACTATACTGTATATTTCCTTCCTCTTATTGTTTCTATTGATTTTTAAAATTTATTATTAATTTTTTTAATTCTCTCGAAACAGGTTTCAGAACATCTCCTGAGTATATATTTGGACGAGTATCCTGACACGCCTTGGGACGCACTCAAATATCTTGTAAGGGACATTTATACTCTAACCAGAAACACACACACACTCACACACAATTACAATTGCATCTTGTTTGTTTATGTTAGTTTGGGCCACTCCTAATTGGTTGGTATTTTCTTGTAGAGGGTACATATGGTGGATTGACTGCCAATGTTATGGGGGAATTTAATGCATTGTTGTTTAACTGCCAGTGTCAACATTGTAACACTCTGTCCAGCTAGGTTATCCATACATTGACTACTGATGTCTGTGAATGGATAAATTATATGTACATGTATTTTGTACTTTACTCTCTATCTCTTTTATTTTATTTTTCTTTTTATTGTATTGAATTCATTATAAAACTACATATATGCATCACTACATGTAGTTTCATATGCATGTACATGTACATGTATTTTGAGAAATGTTTTTACTCTAACACTACACTGCCAGTACACACACAGCATGACATGACATGACATGTATACATGAGTGATTCGTAAAATAAAGTAATACTGGCCTACATGTACATGATTTATATTAATAAATAATATATTTTGTCATGATGATAAAAAATATTTTATAATCTCTTCAGTCTAGTCAGTCAGAGCATCACTGTAGTACGTCATACACTAACATCAACATCCATAATTATATAAGTATAATGACAGTGTGTGTGTGTGTGGTATGAGTAGCTATTACCTCATGCATATTACTAGTAATTATAAGGACAATTGTCATTACTGGACAATGGCACTGCATCACAGTTCACATTAAAGAGTCATTCCTGTTTCCTTATTGTCTAGACACACCTTAACTATAGTAATGCTTTTTACTTTTTGTGGTTTTTTTGGCAATTATGTTGTATGACACCAATTAGTATAACCCTCTTAATAATACTCCCCTACATACTGTATACACAATGTACATGTACATGTATAATGTATAATTTCATTCTATCTCTTGTTTGATATATTTTCATTACTATATGCATGTACATGTACTTATATAGTCCATGAACATTGGCTATATATAAATGATCATTATTATTATACCATGTATATGTACACTGATTTATAATGGATGTGTAGATTGCTGGTGTGAATTATGGAGGACATGTCACTGATGACTGGGACAGGAGAGTACTCTACACTTACATTAATGATTTCTTTGTTGATGACGCCATTGAAGCATCTTATTACAAGTAAGCACGAAAGTTAATTGATATTAACGCGACTCATGTGTGTATTTCAATGTCAATATGATTGATATTAACGCGACTCATGTGTGCCTTATAGTGCACAGTGTACAGTATACATTAACAATTAGTAGTGTTTCATCATTATTTGTAACTCTAGCTATTATCTGATATAATCATTATATTCTTTGAAGTGGTTTTGTTAAAGATGAACTGTTTGTATACTCGTTAATTTAGATTGTCATCATTAAATACTTATTATATTCCTAAAGATGGACCACTCCAATCCTACAAGGTACAGCCAAAATTCACCCTCCCCCCCCCCTCTCTCTCTCTCTTTCTCCTTTTCCTTCCCTCCTCCTCCCCTCCCTCTCTCACTCTCTCTCAATTTTATTTTACAAACTGTATGTGTCTCTATCTTCTTTTGAATCAAATTTTAGCTAGTACCATTGTTTATTATCATTATTGCAGTATCATTATATTTATATTATTGTGTCTAAATTGTAAACTAATTTTGTTAACGTTATGCTAATGATTTCACAATCAATATATACACAGTCTCTACTACTACCAAGAGCTATGTCTCCCTCCCTCAGCTTCTATAGTGACACAGCAACAGCAGCAGCGGTTGCACTGTGTACTATTAGCCTAATGAATCATCACTGCCTTTTATATCATCTGTGACAATTTGTAAATGATTTAAAATCTCTTGTTTCTTCAAAGTATCTTTATTACTATAAAGATACTCTGACGTGTTTATTACTATAAGCCTCTGACGTGTACATATACACTATATATTATAGAAGAGCTATGTATGATTGTATGATTGTGTGTATGGTCCTATGGGATGAAGAGGCGGGACCAGACTACTCCTTTATGTGTACATGTAGATCAAAGCCTCGTCATTCTTAGCAATAGGAACCATGCTATCCATTTATTTGGTGACTTAAGAGCATTGTTGTACTTAAATAATGAATGCTATTCCCATTACTTTTATGTACACAGAAAATTCTACATGTAAGTGCATGGTTGGATTTGTATGGTACATAAAGCACATTACATGTACATGACTGTGTCTGTAATGATCTATTACCATCCAGTGTTTCTATATACAGTTGTATTGCAATGGATTGATGTTATCGTTATTGTTTATTGTTTTTCAGGACTACATTAGCAGTCTTCCTAATACGGACCACCCTGAGGCATTTGGACAGCACCCCAACGCTGATATTGCCAGTCAAATCAGAGAGACAAGGTTAGTTCATTTAGCATCTCGAGGACATGTGTGTGTGTGCACTAGACTAAAGACTTGCTTGCATAGTGTGTGTGCATACAACAACACAGCAAATGATATATCTATGCACTTATGTGATGTGTGCGTGTGTGTGTGTGTGTGTGTGTTACTATGTGTCTGGAATCTACCAGTGCTTTCTTATATGCGAGTGAGTTTATACAATTTAATGTTTAATTCATTTACCGGGCCAATAGTGATCGACCTAATGTAATGCAGTCCAGCATAACTGACTTAGGCAAATTGGAAAACACTGCCCACCACACCGCTGATCCTCTTCATGTGTAATTTGAGCATTATCTAATATAATTGTCTCTCATTATACTGGTATTAATGATACTCTGATCACATACACATTTTGTACTAATGTGTGTTTGTGTATACAGTGTAACCTCCCACTGGAGCTGCTACCTCTGAAATAAGGGCATGCCAAGCTGTTAATGTTTGTAATGTCCCCGTCACCTTATATTGGCCTCTGAAATAAAGAACACCTCTGAGACATAATAGTATTGTGTAGATTATAAAGAAGTCAAACTGTATTATTATTATTATTATTATCATCATCATCATTATAGGACAGTATTGGATACATTGCTGTCCCTTCAGCCACAGCAATCAGTTACAGTAGGAGAGAGCACAGAAGATAAGGTACACACAGTCTACAGTACATGTATATCAATACTGCATGATTATCATCAATAGGTTCTTAATCTAGCTGCTGATGTATTGAAGAGGATACCAGACCTCATCGATTATGAAGGAACAGCTAAACTGATCGCTGATGACATGACTCCATTGAATGTGGTCCTACTACAAGAGGTGAGTTTATATATGAAGATGTACAATTGTACATGTATAAGGACACAGGGAGATAGAGGGGCCAGAGTTCCCCCCTCCCACAAAGCATGCTAAGTGAGCTAAACAGCATGAGCTTCATGAGCTGACAAGCACTACAATACAGTACATGGCATTTGGAGCAACTTTAAAAATTCATTAAAAATTGAAATTTAATTGGAATCAGTTCAAACTTGATATAGAACATAAAAACATGTAGGTGTATCAGAAAAAGTTATAAAAATAAAGATTTCTTTCCTTGTGATTTTGTTGAAATACCCTGTACAGGACAAGAAGCGTATACTATGCCAAAATCCTATGGGAAACCCTGGTCTCCCCCCCTAGTTTGATCAAAGAGTGCAGGGGGTCTGGAGTTCATAATTTTGTAGCTGAGCCCCCCACTTTTGAACTGTTTAAAACACTTTAGCCTGTGATGACTGCAATGGTCGTGTGAATGTGTTTGTTTAGCTTTGGCAAGGATGTGGACTATTGAGTGGGAGAGACTATTTTACTATGCACCTTACCCAATTAGTAGTACATGAATCAGATGATTGTGTATGTATGTATACAGTGTATCACTCTCATGTACATGTAGTACTACATGCCCCCTACTACTGCTAGTATTGAGTTTATGTTCTGTATCCTTTTTGCAAGGTCAAGCAATCGTTATGCTTCATTAGACTCTGAAATAAAAATGTCTGTGTTTATGCTTTTTATATTTATGGCGAACCAAATATTTATGCATGCAGTATAAGATATGAGATAACTTTTAAAAGATCTGTTATTATGTAGATGTATTCTCATATAAATTGAGGATTTATGCTATGCTACTGTATGGTATTTTGACATTCTAATTCTATATAGATCCAGAGGTATAATGCTTTGCTTACAATAATGAAAGAATCGCTCGTTGATCTTGAGAAAGGTATCAAAGGATTGGTGGTGATGTCTGCCGATTTAGAGGAAGTGTTCAGTTGCATCAATCACGCACAGGTCCCACCTCTGTGGGGAAAGGTAAGGAAAGAAAGAAAAAATGTAATGTTTATAATATCCCTTTCCTCCTCTTTCTCTCTCCTTCCCTCTTCTCTTTCCTTCTCTTCTCCTCCCCTTCTCCTCTTTCTTTCTTTCTTTCTTTCTCCCCCCTCTCTCTCTCCTCAGACCTTTCCCTCATTAAAGCCACTAGGTGCATGGACACGTGATCTTGTCCTAAGAGTAGAGCAGTTCAACCAATGGTCAACAACTGCTCATCCTCCTATCCATTTCTGGCTCTCTGGCTTTACATTTCCCACTGGTTTCCTAACAGCTGTCCTTCAAACTGCAGCTAGAAAAAACAATGTAAGTCCCCCCCATACACACACACACCTGGCAACCAGAGCTTGTGTGCATAAATAACTAGGACACAATGAGTGTGTCTTTACTTTCAGATAATTTATTATTACACATACACAAGAGTAGATGATGGTTTATCATCTACTCTTGTGTACATGTATGTTAATGAAAGCCCTATAGTTTCACAGGAGATAAATTGGCACGATTGACTATTGTACACCCACAATTGCATGAAGGATGTTTTTGTGGAGTGTTCTTTTATGTGGGAGAGTGAACTCACTCACTCACTCCTTTGATTTGAATGATTCTGCTTTTCCTCATGTACAGTACAATATGTCATTCTACATGCACTTTACAGGTTTATACGTATGTACATGTACATCCATGATAATAGCCTGAGGCTATAGTATTTAAAGTATGTCATTACTTTTGACCTTGTCCTCGTTTGCTGTACTACAGATAGCTTTATTGCTACAGGAAGTTGACCTTACAAACTGATCTCACGGTTTTTATTTTATTTTCAGGTATCCGTCGATTCTCTTTCATGGGAATTTCATGTGTCTACGCTTGACGATAGCAACATAACTGACCCACCAAAGGTACTAGCCGTTTAGTCTACTCTACTATTGATACACACACACACACACACTTGTGTATCACTGCATGAATCTCTCTAATAATAATAATTAACAGGAAGCATGAGCTCATGTGTATGTGTGAATTATACTTTATCTCTCTACGTCATTCCTCCTTCCTCTCGAGTAGTGATAACACTATGTCCTCCACGGTCTCCTTAGGCTGTGAATCTACTTCTCACTATCTTTCTTTCTGATTTATCCTACTATTGCGTTTATCCTACTATTGTGTTTATACAACAGCTTACATTGATGGTAGGAGGCAAAATCCAATCGTAATTAAGAATGCTGTGGGTGAGAAAAGGGCTTGTACTGACATTAATTGTGTTTGGTGTATCAAGTTGCTTTATTTATCATCTGCAATGTTGTAGGAAGGCGTGTGGATCAAGGGACTATTTTTAGAAGGTGCAGGCTGGGACCGAAGGTCGTCTTGTCTCATAGAGCCCAATCCAATGCAGCTGGTCTGTCCTATGCCAACGATTAACTTTAAACCGGTTGAGAATAAGAGGAAACATGCCAAAGGTAACGCAATGCCAATCAGTCTCTACTATCCTTCTTCATTTCTCAGTCATACCTCAAGTATAGTACACTTATAGTGTCCTGCTTGAGTAGTCTATTATAATAATATGTACTGTACTGTGTTATTAGTGTGTACTATTGTCCTAATCCAGTTATCTAATAATAGCAGTATAATCTACTCTCTTCAGAATACAGTGATGCATTAGTACTAATGCATTATAGTGTTTAATGTCATAATGGCTTCATTCTTACTGTAAACTGATATGCCTCAGACTTTATTTACTATGAGAGTCACAAGAAGACTCACTATATGTACATTAAAGTATTCATTTCATGTCTGTGACTACATGTGTGTACATATACATGTAATCCATGATCTATATGTACAGTACCTTTAGCTCATCATGGGATGTCAGTAGTAGTAGTTCATGTGTAACTGTTAAAGTGGGAGAGAGACATCCATTGCTTCTCTAATTGTTTATACTATGACATTGGCTGGTTTGGTTTGCCTGATATTTTACATGCTAGAGTTAAAGAGAATGCCATCAACTATGTATACACAGCACATGACGATTTCGACAGCTGTGAGTCTGAACTGATGTCAGTATTATTAGTAATGTAGAGCTAACATGTACTGGACTGTAGTGTGTTCTTAATTATTGTCTATATGTATTTCTGGTTTATGTAGCATCGGTTCTGCCAGTTAGAGCTTTGGCATCTTATTTACATATCACACCAAATGAAGTATAGGA